CGTGGGAACATTAATCCAATCACAAACTCAATAATGGGTGACTATACTCCTAGTAAAGAGACCCAAACAACTCGCATTCCAATTACCCAAGGCGTTGTCGAGAAACATCAACGGACAATGACTAGTTTCATGAGTAGTAGACCAAGCAAGCGGAACCGTGAAGCAGATGAGATTGATAACGATCAGCTAATGGAGGTTTATGCTAAAAATGGTATACATGGTAACAAGGATAGTACAAAGGAATGTGTGGTTAAATCAAAGAGGAAGATTTTTCCTTCTGAAAAATATTCTACTTGTATTTATTCGAGGTTTTTCTCTAAACCAAATGAAAACAATTTTGAAGTAAAAACTATGGAAAAAGACTCTAAGGAAGTTCTTCTACCAGATATTTCAAAATTGAGGACATTATCCGCTCCGATAGGTGGCTGTATCGACAACGTGGCAGATGATTATTTTGATGAAATTATGCCATCACAGACATCGTCGATGGAAATGTCAATTTCAGCCAAATCTACCCAAAATACAATTTCATGTTATGAGGCCTGTGGTTCTCAAAATGAGGAGGTTTGTAAGTCTCCTAGGGTGCAGGAGGATACCCTAATGTCTCCTGATTTATTACAGCGTCAAATTGAAACTGAAGTTATTTCACCCGATCTACTCAAATCCAAAACAAAATCAGAAACAAACTTTCACCAGACCAATCAGAATACAGCATCTGTACTTCTGTCGAAATCTACGCAAAATCACGACAATTCAACTAATCAAAATACAATCAATACGCCTACTAAAAGTAACTCCAGCGAACCGATCACTTGTAACCAACCAAGGAACCCCTTTTTGACACCTTCCAAGGACTCCCCTATCTCAATCGTACTCTCAGAAACACCTGAAGGCGACAAAAACTCTAAAATTGACCCTGATATACAAATATCAAGTGTGAAACAGGCCACTAACATTAAACCAATTATAAGTCAGTATTTCTCAGAACAGAATTACAGACGTCCTCTAACTGGCCTAAGTAGGCCCAAGCGCCGGCCTTTGACTGGTCAATCTAAACAAACAGTTCTAGATGTACAGAAATGAAGAGAAAAACAAAATTAGTTCTTTTTAAGATTGGTGTGTTCAATGACTATTCATGGTACTTATTTATGTACAGGTTTTCTCATTAATTCAAGGCAAATTATTAGTAAAGTTATTTGCGTTAGGGGCCGTTCAAACGTTACGTAACGCAATTTCCCTAAATTTTGACCCCCTCCCTGTGCACGATTTTTCACCATTATGTAAAAAAAGAATGAGCCGTCACACTTCCATTGATGCAAACCTGGCGTCTCGAGATTAAAGTTGTGAGTTTTGGCATTTCAACATCAAATTGAATGAACAGTAAAGAATCATAAAATATTGTCAGAACAATTTATCAAATTCCGCTTAAATAGCATAAACTAATACTCTTGCTTATTCTAAAAATAGACTACCCACAGAACTTATAACAGCGTAATCTAAACTGCAGGGTTTCTCAACTTGTATAATTTCAATCATATGACCAAACTTGACTACCACTGTAGTCACAAAGATTTTGTATGTGGACTGTCACGCTTTAACTGGTCCGGGACCAGTTATGACCGACTACAACTGGTCCGCCCTTGCCATATCTGATCCGCCCACTGAGTAGCCCTGAATATACTCCCAACAGAATATAGCGTCATGACAAGTCTCTATAAATGGGAAACTCTATAAGCCCGGAAATTTTCGTCCACCTTCATTCAATTCCATAGAAAAGAACCTCTATACGCGGGGAATGGGCATACTTTATAGATAATTATGCCTCATACTATTGAAAATGACATCTCTCTATAAGTGGTCAATCCTAATTTAAATTTCTTGAATAATCCATTTTTCTGCTAAATTTGGAAAAACAACACGTACTTTTCGCTATGATGAATTGAAATTTTAGATTTCTGGCAATAAAATTTCTTATAAATGTGTATATTCAACAAAGATTTACATAATTACAAGATATCTTATACACACTAGTTTATATTATATTCCTGTCATTCCAAACATATTATATCGGAACTACAATTAAACAATTCAGGAATCAATTGAGAGAATTTAGAAACACTCGCAAGTTAGATACATTTCAGATAAATACAATAGTCAAATACAAACTTTTGTATAACCAAAAGACGATTCTCATCAAAAGTCTATTCAGTATATCCATGTTATCATATGAGATAGTAGTGTTTAGTTACACATTTGTGTATCTTACAGTTTTAACATAAATATCGAACATCCTTTTGTAATAGAAGAAGTACAAATGATTTCACTGAATTGTTCTGTACATCCGAGCTTTGGATATTACTACCATTATCCGGCATCTAGATTCTTACCTATAATTCTAGGAATAATGCTATGCAGCTTAATAACTCTCATTTCTATCCTCACTACATTTCTTGAGAAACGGTATTAGGCGCATTCGCTTCGTACATCCTTGATAAGGTATGCTGTCTGTTGGTGCATTGAAGTAATTGTTTTATTAGCTTGTTGTACGGTATACACACTACCTCTTCTCTTTATACTTGCTCCATCACTCGCATTCATCAACTGGGTATAATTAATATATGAAAGTAAAAATTTAGCGGAATATACTGTATGCATTGTATATACGTATGTGCATGCATGCTTAATCAAATGAATTGGCGAATAACACGAACTACTCAATTGATATTCTGCTTGTTTAATTTTCTTGAAACAAAATTCACAAACCTATAAAAGACATATTTAAACCTAACTTTATAGTGAATAGGAGAATACAAAACTATCAAAATACACAACGATGCCTTTTAGATCAATCAATCGAATATCTCAACTCATAAGCGAGGAAAGAATTATCAATCCTGACTACAAGCAAAATAATAATTCAATGTTCATACTAACATTTCTATGCAAGAATCTGGTTGTGAGTGAACAACCCAAATCAAATAGAAATAGAAAACGAAAAAGTAACTGTCTGTCAGATGAGGAGATAGAATCTTGTATATATTCTCGTTTCTCCTCACAAAGTTCTAGTCAGCTCGGCGAGTTCAAGAGTGCAGCACAGCTCTCTCTCTTCTCTTACAAATCTGTAATACATGCACCTAAAGTCACTGTACAATCCTCTACACTAATGCACAAGAAGAAAATCCGATTTCAGTAATTACACACTTTAGTTAATCATGTACTATATTATTGTTTATATTTCACGATTTTATACTAATTTGTACATTTATAATCATATTTAACACTTAGCTCCTACGAACAATTTAACCTATAATCTAACATTATTAAATCTCAATTGTCTGTCTGTCTGGTTGTCCGTCCGTTGTCAAGGTATGGATTTATGGTATGCTATATTGTAATTGAATATAGCAATCCCCGAGATGACCATGCATTTATCGTGTTTATCAAGAAAGTAAATATAATTCAATAGAACTTGAGTAGATATATCGACTATTATCCTGAATCTGATTTTCACAATTATAATTAATCATTTTTGCGAAAAGTATTTGTTGTTTTTATGAATATATATATATAGTAAGTAAATAAATAATCCAACCTTAATTTTATCATACAGACTTGCTCCTAACGGCTACACAGGAAAATACATTCGCTGAATCCGATATTAACGTTTTCAAGTTTCAAACTTATTGTTAATATATTTTAAACAACTAATTGAAATCTCAATTTTTTGTTCAAATACATGTATACATAGAGTTTCAAAGTAAGAAAATTCTAAATCTCGCATTTTAAGTTTATCATAAGTAATTTCTAACATTTTGCATGCTACACTTTCATTGCAGTACCATGTAGGTACTGACCCCTCTTTGCATAGCTTCCTACCCTCATGGTATAAAGTCGAAATCGTTTTTTCCCTCCAAAATGCACGGAGAAAAAGTAAAAACAAACACTTTTCAACTGCAAAGCTATTTATGCTTCGAGAGTGAAATTCTTAGTTTACATCAAATTAGTCTCTCTCTTTGTAGTCCAGAAACAACAAAAACCAATTAGTTAAGTACAATAACTGAACAATTAACAGTATTTAACCATTTTGACTAATTAAATTTGCGCTCGAAATATGGAGTTTGTCATCACGTAACAACTGGAAGAGGGGAAAAATCAGAGAGGCAAAATTACCAGGAAGAAAACTGATTCAAACTGCACTTTTTACATGATCAAGCTAGCAAAGAAACCCCGTAGCAAAAACCCAATAAGTCTTGTATATAAATATCTTAGGGAGTGACAAGCAATTACAAGGATGCAACATTACCAGGTGGCAAAAACTCCCGATTTCAACTGTACGTACCTCGAGGAGCGGAGCGACAAGGTCTTTGCGAAACTACGACACTAATACATAGAATATATAGTTATGAAGTATAAATAATAGAAGTAAGAATGTTGGAAGGTAGGCTAGTACGGCTACTCTATTTCCTTTGCGATTTCAGCATCAGTCCAATCTTCAAACTTTTGAGAAGTGATCAAACTTGATCATTTAGAGGAAGTAAAAGTCGTAACAAGGTTTCCGTAGGTGAACCTGCGGAAGGATCATCATTGTATTGTGTTGCTCGATTGAGGGGATTGAGTTACTCAACCGCTTCTCTGTGGACTTGTGTGTATATATGAATGACCCTTTCACCTCTATGCGTCCCTGCTGTTGCATACACACACTCACACTGTGTGTGTGTGTGTTGTGGTGGGTGGTGTACGAGTTGCTAGGGTTGTTTAGTGGTTGTCACACAACAACGCTTCAGAATAAGGTCTTACTCGCAGGAGAGTTTCTTGATTGATTTGGTCCTGTGGTAAGTTAATGTGATCAAGGCCCAACTTAACACTTCCTTTATCCGCCTTATCTGTTGCTTGTTTGACGCCACTTTTTGTTTTGTTAACTTTGCCTTGTTCTTACTTTTGTTTGTTTGAATGTGTAATCATTCAATGTGAGCGAATACTATATATGTGTGTACAGTACAACTTCTAACGGTGGATCTCTCGGCTCGTGTATCGATGACGAACGCAGCCAACTGCGATACGTAGTGTGAATTGCAGAATTGTGAATCATCGAATCTTCTAACGCGCATGGCGCTTCAAGCTTGCTTGGAGCATGTCTGTCTGAGGGTCGTTTCCTTATAACCTTGTGCCCCTCCTACACTGAAACATGATTTGGTTTAGTTTGGTTTGGCATTGCTATGAGGCTATCCCTGTTAAGTAACAACACTGCGCGTGCATCTTTTAGATACACTCTTGTTGTGTTTAATGGATATCTCTCAGTGTTTGTTGTTGTCTTCAGTGTGCCTTGAAAAGTGTGTGCTAGATACTGCTCTTTAGATTTGTATTCTAAATTATCAGTTGGGCTGATTGTTCTGTTCCAACCAATTTAGGAGGCATATACTGGTGAGTATTTCTTGTCGGCTACTCTCTATTTCATGCAAGTATATACACACATAATGTAGTGGTGTGTGTGTGTACTCGAGTCTTTGACTTGCTGCTGCTACTGCTACTACTGCTGCTTGTTTTACTTGCAAGATTTATTTTCTTTTTCAGGACCTCAGATTAGGCAAGGATACCCGCTGAATTTAAGCATATTACTAAGCGGAGGAAAAGAAACTAACAAGGATTCCCAGAGTAATGGCGAATGAAATGGGATCGGCTCAAGCTGATAATCTCTGGCTGCTTTCATGTGGTCAGCGAATTGTAGTCTAGAATGGTCGCCTTGTGTGGTATGCACTCAGGTAAAGTCCACTTGGAATAGTGTGCCAGAGAGGGTGATAGCCCCGTGTAGCGTGTTGTGCCTGAGCTGTGTCTGCAATCGGTGGCCGTTGATGAGTCGGGTTGTTTGGGATTGCAGCCCAAAGTGGGTGGTAGACTCCACTGAAAGCTAAATATACCCACGAGACCGATAGTGAACAAGTACCGTGAGGGAAAGATGAAAAGCACTTTGAAAAGAGGGTGAAAAGACCGTGAAACCGTTAGGAGGGAAACGAACAGTCTGACCGTTGCGTCAGCATGATTCAGGCAAGTTGTGTTGTTGAGTCTGGTTGGGCTTTGCTGGCTGGTCTGAGTGTTCTGATCATGTAGGATGCAAGCCAGTGCCCCAGAGTAATCTCAGCCTTCTCTGTTGTATTTCATGCTGTACGAAGCTAGTCACGCTTGTCTGTGGTTCTGTGTGTGTGTCCTTCGGGGGGTGTATACAGTCACACACAACACAGTTTGCTGGGTAAGGAAGGTGACTGTGTTAGCGGAGTCCTTTACGGGGTTCTGTGATACACAGTGCTTATAGCCATGCCCGCATAGCAGCTGTGTAGACGAGCGAGGCAACACGGCACCTGTTGTCTATCTTCTGGTGTCCTTTATTCGATCGGATTCCTGCTGAAAAGCAGGGGTCTGCCGTGCAATTGTGGCCACCTCGTGTGCCTTCGATCTTACCTCTTTGTGGAGGGGGGTTGAGCCATGTGGGTGTCTTCCACGGTTGTATTGAGCTGGCGATCGATGTGTGACTGGTTTAATTATGTGGTAAGCCTGTCCGACCCGTCTTGAAACACGGACCAAGGAGTCTAACATGTGCGCGAGTTGTACGATGTGATAGAAATCTGTATGAGAGCGAAATGAAAGTGAAGGAGAGCACCCGCCTGGGCAATTCGTTGTCCTCGGGTGTTGTCTGTGATGTGAGCTTATCTCTTGTGTGTGTTAAAGGATGAGCCCTGCATCGGCCGATCGTTGTGTCAGCTGCGTGGTGGTGCCTGCTCTCTACTGGCTTGCCAGGCAGGGGGTAGGTTACGGTCGCGTGGGCGGCGGGATTCGAGCATGAGCGTGCCTGTTGGGACCCGAAAGATGGTGAACTATGCCTGAATAGGGTGAAGCCAGAGGAAACTCTGGTGGAAGCTCGTAGCGGTTCTGACGTGCAAATCGATCGTCAAATTTGGGTATAGGGGCGAAAGACTAATCGAACCATCTAGTAGCTGGTTCCCTCCGAAGTTTCCCTCAGGATAGCTGGAGCCCGGACTAGGTGTGTAGTTTTATCAGGTAAAGCGAATGATTAGAGGTATTGGGGCTGAAATGGCCTCAACGTATTCTCAAACTTTAAATGGGTAAGAGGCACAGCTTACTTCACTGAAGCTGTGCATGCGAATACAGGGGCTCTTAGTGGGCCATTTTTGGTAAGCAGAACTGGCGATGCGGGATGAACCGAACACTGGGTTAAGGTGCCCAAGTCAACGCTCATGAGATCCCAGGAAAGGTGTTAGTTGATACAGACAGCAGGACGGTGGCCATGGAAGTCGGAACCCGCTAAGGAGTGTGTAACAACTCACCTGCCGAATCAACTAGCCCTGAAAATGGATGGCGCTCAAGCGTTGCACCTATCCCCGGCCGCCGTGTGGAGTTGGCCAGTGTTGGTGACACGGCGTGTAGGAGGGCGCGGGGCTGTGTGTGTCTATGCTGTGCAGGCTGGTGCGTGAGCCCAGCTGAAGCCGG